ATGAAAAAAATTATTTTTTGGAAGTGTGTGGAATTAATTATGTGCATAGAGATTTAATTATATAAGGTTAGGGACCTAATTGCATAAAATTAGGGGTCCAATTACATAAAATTAAAAGTTTTAGCACTTAAATAAGTTTGAAAATAAAATTTTGAAGGCATAAAGATGTTGAAAAAGCCTTAAGAGAAGACCAAAAGTAGTTAATTAAAATTGAAAGGTTGAAGGTAGGGATTAAATTTAAATGGTGTGATAAGTCAAAGGACTAAAATAAATATTTTTGGCCAAATCTTTCCACCTTAACCCGTCACCTCACCTCCATATTAAAAGATGTAACCAAATGGATGGCTAAAGATTAAAGTAGTGGAGGGTTAGGATAAAAAAAAACTTAGATGGTGAAGATTTAACCAAATGAAAGGCTAGGATTAAAAGATGAATTAAAAGTGGAGATTAAACCAAATAAAGGATGGAGATCACGTCAAAACAAGTGAAAATCCACCCAAGTAGGAGATCTCACACCTATTAACATGATGATGTCAAAGCAAACACTTAGGTGATTAATATTAGAGAACATGTCGGTAGACTTGACTTAAATTAAGAACCCATTTGATTTAATCTATGAGGATCTTATACGAGATTGGAATAACTAGTTCTTAGACTTGAAGTCATCACGCTTATATCATGAGAGGATTTGTATACTTTGACACTCGTTTTGATAGATCTAGTAAAAGGTTACACTTGGGCTATTCGTTGGGTGTACTAGGAATAAAATGGAAGCAAGTGGATGACTAAGATAGGACATGTCATTCCTTGTATGCTAAAGAAGTTATCACATTGTAATTCAATAAATGTCTACTTAAGAAATCTATGATCCTAGTAAGAGTACACCAATAGACCATAATTGGTTCACTCTAAGAGCTAAGGCATTTGAGAATAAAAAAAAAAAAAAACTTGTGTGATCATAATCGAATAAGACTAATGACTAAGTTCGAGATCACATTATGATAAGTTGATATGAGGACTGAATTATATGATAACCATGCTCATGAAAGGTAATTATAGATTAATTAATCCTTTTAGAGAATTGGATAGTCATGATGTCTTCGCTATAGAGCTAATCTTGACTTATATATCGGAGATAAAAGAGATGTTTTTTATTCTTGATACATTACCAACATATCTAGGAGCTTTTTAAGTAAAACGTATAAGTTTAAGCATTCACATGATTAAAGAGATGTAAAGATGTTGGAAAAGATTTCTAATTATGAAAGTTTTCTATTTTGGAAAAGGTTTTCCGAAAATAGAAAGTTTTTTAAAATGAAAAGTTTCGTAAAATGAAAAGTTTTTGATTTTAAGAAATTAGTTTTCTAATTTAGAAAGCGAGTTCCAAATTTAGAAGTAAATAACCTAAAATAAAAATGAGTTTTCTAATTTAGGTTTAAGGATAATTTAGGAAATTATTTCTTAGGTCTGTGTTTGTTTGGGGGAAAACAAGTTTCGGGAACTTGTTTTTCCTATTTTCCACTGTTTGTTTTGCATCTAGAAAAAAGTTAACGAAAAATGATTTTCAGTCCATAAAAAATGATAGAGTATTTTTGAGAAAATGTTTTTCCAGTTTCAAAAGAGAAAAATATTTTCTTTCTCACGAGACTGTTTTGCTTTCGCATTACTTACCTTTCTCTCGATATATTTTAATAATTTTTTTCTCTATCTTTTTTTTATTTAAAATATATCTAATTAATTTTTAATTATTTCCCATCAATTATTATTAATTATTTAATTATTTTTTCTCTATTTTTATTAATATTTGAGTTTTTGATTTATAGATACATTAAGTATTCTTAAAAACCATTTTTACACCTTAAAATTATTTTTATAATAAATATTTTAATAATTTATCTCTATTTTGTTTTATTATTATCTTAAACACCACCTAAACTATACTTAAATAATTGAAAATGATTATTACAAGACTATAATTTTTTGTAAAAAAAAAATAATTAATTAATTCATCAATAAATACATTATTTTTTCACTACTATTCATTTACAATTAAATCAATAATTTGTAATTTTAATCAATTGTAAAATTTTATTGGTAATTGTAGTAAATAATTGGTTACAAATTATTTAAACATTAATCTTTTGAGACCAAATGAATAATTATCTATAAATGATAGCTAATAATTTATAAAACTATTTTTTAGACTAAATTATTACTTCAATTTCTAAAAAAAAAAAATTCTTAATTGAGTTACCAAAATAACAATGCTAGGATTACTTAAAATCTTTGTTTACTAAATGTGAATAGTGACTTGATTTTGTCTCAAGTAATTTTGATGAATTGGTTTAATGATTAAAAAAGTATATTTTATTTTTTGAATTAAAATTTTAGAGTTATTATTTATTAAAATATATTAAATTTTTCTAAATATATCTTATGTTGTAAAATTATGAATATGTCTTTTTGAAGTTTTCTTAAAACTTGTTGATATAACAATCACATATGTTTTTTATTTTAATTTTCTAAATCAAACAAATGCTCGGAATATGCTTTTCGGTAGTTTTTTTAATGTAATTGCCAAACGGCGAGAAAATATGTTTTTGGAAAATAATTTTCTGAAAAATGGCTTTCTTAGGAATTAATTTTCCTATGGAACTTGTTTTCCCCCCAAACAAACAACGCCCTAATGCGAGCCTCTTAAAATTATCTAACTTGATTTATTTGAATAGTCCAAATAAATTAATTAGGCCAAAATAGTTTTTAGCCAATAGGTTTAATTAAAAATCGAGAAGAGATTTTGGTAGGAGGATAAACATAAACCTTATTGGATAAGAATGAATCTTTTAAAGATAAAGATAAAGAAAGCCCACATGCAAAATAACTCCTAATCCCCGAAGGATTAGGAAGCAATAATCAAGAGTTCAATTAGAACTAATTGTTACCCCTCTTCGTCCTTGGAGGATAAAAAAGTCTCTCTTATAAATATGTGTGAGAGAAATGACATAAAGGAAAAATATTCTAGGGCACACGACATTAAGAAAAATAAAAGGAGAAAATAGTTTTCTCCTAAAAACCTAGCACACGCCATTTTCCTCTTCTCTTTTGGTTGTCTTAAAATTAACCTAATTAAATTTCTATAGGGAACACTAAACAAGTAAAAAAAAGATGGAGCTAGCACTTTATCAATTTTGAGAGTTTCTTTTGCGGGTGCTTGGATCGCATGGATTATCGATAAAGGTCGGACACTTAGATGGCTTTTTCCGTGAAGGTTTAAATCGTGCTACAAGAGGTAATTCTTTATTCATCACTTTAATTCATGAATATATAGGTAGTTGATTCAACGACATGATCTTGGGCTCTTTAGATAGAGGAAATTTTTATTTTATTCTACACCTCTATAGAATGCATGATCCTTCGATTAGCAATACTAAAGTGTAAATAGGAGCACATCACCGTAGATTTTATGATTCGGTTGCTAAGGTTAGAAAGAGGATCAAATGAAATTTGAGTGAATGTGGATAGATTAACTAAGTCAATACATTTTCCGACTCGAAGATTACTTTTACCATGACTATATACCGAGTTGTACATTAAGAAAATATTGAGGTTACATGAGATTCCAAAACCAATCACGTCGGATCGTAATACTAGGTTCACTTTGAATTTTTGGAAATGCCTACATTACATAATGGGAACCAAATTGTATTTCAATATAGCTTTGTTAGATATGTATACCCTAGAGTTATATGTATTGTGTGATTTGTAAACAATTATCCCTTTATGACAATAAAAGATATATTCTTTATATGAAAGTTTTTTATTGTTTTGAATATAGTCCTTAAGTAAATTGTTAGAATATCTATTCTTAAAGATGTTTAGAATATAAGTGATAGATATTTCGAAATAAAATACTTTAAATAATTTGTGCTCATAGGATACCTAATTGGGCATCATTTATCCGGAAGACTATCACCTCTATTTATTTATAATAATAAGTCATACTATTTGATATGTGATATCGGAACAAACATGTGGACACTTATTTTTAATAGGTTGAATAGTGACGAGTAAATGATGATAACATGAAGTTCTTACTACTTATCAATGATTTATTATCTAGATTATAATAGTGCATATAATTCTTAGACCTTAGATGACACGATTATCTCACATATAGGTGATTAGGGTTTGTTACTCGCATATATATATATATATATATATATATGCTAGTCATGTATGGGTACATGGCATGTGGTGGCCCTAGTTAGTTATGTGTAGGAGGTAGGTTTTTAGCCAATATGGAATTCATCATCTTGAGTAAACAATGATAAGATCCTATATTATCTAGTTATTTTTTATAAACAAATTTCTTAGTTAAGATAGATAGATTCACTAGAAAAACGTTTCTAGTATGAATCATATAATATCAAGAATTAGAACTAAGATGAGGTCATAATAACTAAGCAATTAGGTTTAACATTTACATGACCCTAGCTAAAATCAAGATCTTAAAATGAAAGGATTCTAGTGCATGGTAATTATGAATATTGGTTTCATAAAATGTACCTAATTTGTTTAATATATTCATCTTTAATTAGGTAGTCGTGATATGATATGCTAGACATCACTCGTGACTTATGAAACTAAGATTACATTAGGAATATTCTTAAATAAAGAAAAGAGTTTCTTATGATGTCAAAGAGTTGATATCATATTCTCATTGTTAATTTGACATGAACCTAAAAAGTCACACACAATAGAGCATTTATCTAATGAGAAATTATTTTCATGGTTATTAATTAAAGTATTTAATTAATTGATAAAAAATAATAGGATTAAACTTGTAATTCAATTTACGGTGGTCTTTAACATGTCTTGAAGTTTAATTGAATTTAAGGTCAATTAATCAAGATTTGAGATATAAATTAAGAGTTATTAAGCTTAGATCAACTAATTAATATTAATGCATGCATGATGATTAGTGTAATAAAAAAACATAGTCTCGGTAGAAGATTATGTGTCCGATAAGAGCCCGATTATGCCTTTCAAACAAGTCTATTCACGTCGCAAGAAGAATGGGTCCGATTGTCTAGCCATCGTGGTCAAAGCAATCGTCATATTTTCATTTAATCGGTATCTTTAATTTGTATGTTGTTACTTTGTCCTTTATTGCTGGATGCTTTTGTTTGTTACGCAAGAATAATGTGTGTGTGAGTTCTAGAAGACCAGCTTGTCAATTTTGTTATGCCACGACCAATATAGTGTGAAAAGGAGGGATGAGTGGGGCATTCGGTTATGAAGTAATAATTTATGGGACATTCTTGTCGGGGAGAGAACCGGGGCCTCTCTAATGCCTCATTGGGTCATGTATACTCAACGTCCTTAATTCAATCATACCACTATTTTTACCATTTCTGCTACTTTTTTTAATTCCTTTATTTCATCGACTTGGTGCCTACCAATTTGGTATCAAAGCCAACCCGATATTGATGACCAAAACCGAATGGCAAACAAGTTTGAGCGAGTTAGTCGAGGAGGCGAATGAACTAAAAGGCATGAAGGAGCAAGTTGTCGACATGACTACGGCTATGACTTCGTTAGTCGTGGAGTTCAAAGATTTCCAAACACATATACGAGTGCTAGTAATGTGGCAGAGGTGAGTAGTTCTAGATCCGGCAAAGTAGTAGCTACAACGCTCGACTACGAAACCCTCATTACCGTGGTGGCAAATCCCGGTAGGGATCGAGAGAGATTTTCAAGGAAATTAGAACCGCCGGCTTACAACGGAGAAGAACCGGGGGCTTGGATATTTCGAGCTGAATGATATTTCTCTATTAATTAGCTTACGAAAGCAAAGAAATTAGAAGTCACTGGAGTGTGTTTTGAAGGAGAGGCACAAGCTTGGTTAAGGTTTGAGGAACGAGATTTTCCATTTACGACTTGGGATGCTTTAAAGGCATAATTGCTTCATCGATTTGTAGATATGAGTGAAGGGAATATGTTGCATCGATTCTTTACGATGAAACAGGAGGGTACAATGGCGGAATACGAGGCACAATTTGAGTTCCCGGCGACTACGATTGGGAAGTTCAAGGAAGGAACTCGGTCGCGGTGTTCATGAACAGATTATGAGAAAATATAAGAGCCGAGCCGATGGTGATTAACCCCTCAGGTTGAAAGAGATGATGGAGGTAGCCACAAGGATCGAGGCTAAAAACCGCATTCTAAGCCCAAATAATAAAACCCACAAAGAACTCCCTTCAAACCAAACAAAGCTAGATCGGAAGATAATTACATGGACCCTCTAAACCCGACCCACCGAACCATCTTATCTCAACCCAAACCCGACCTTATACCTTAACTCAAAACACTCAAACTAACCCTAAATCTTTCTCTCATTTCAACACAAACATCCGATTCAAATGACTTTCCCCATCCGAAGCTCGGACAAAACGAGCGCAAGGCCTTTGTTATCACTACGACGAGAAGTGGAGTCCAGCCCATCGTTGTAAAAACAAGGAGTCGCATGTCTTGCTTGTTAGTGAAGGAGTGGACGGAGTTGGAGATGGTACCGAAAATTCACAGCGGGAGGAAGAGGCATTTGAGGAAGTGGAACTTTCTTTGAACTCGTGGTTGGGCTATTGGAGCCTAAGACATTAAGGTCGAAGGGTAAGGTCCATGGTGTACCGGTTGTGGTGTTAATCGATTGCGGCACGACTCACAATTTTATATCCGTCGATTTGGTATCAACACTTCAAATTCCTATTTCGAAACAACAGAGTATGAGGTTGTTATTGGTTCCGGAAATAAATTACCGGGACGAGGAATCCGTAGGGGCATTGTATCGAAGCTACAAGAGTTGACGATAGTTAAAGATTTCTTACCTCTTGATTTGGAAAGTTCAAATGTCATACTAGGAGTAAAATGGTTAGTAAATCTTGGGGTAACTCACTCCGATTGGAAGAAGCTCACTTTGTCCTTTGAAATGGGAGGCGAACCGTATTGCTAGAGGGGGACCCAAGCCTCAATAAGGCCTTGGTTTCTTTGAAAACAATGGTATGAACAATCCGAGTAAGAGAAGAAGGGAATGTTGGTTGAGTTGTGTTAGATTGTGGTGGCGAATGAAAAGAAGAGCGAACCTTTGGCATTGGTCGTGTAGGAAGTGTTAAGTGAATTTGATGATGTTTTTCAATCATCGGTGGGACTCCTCCCAAGAGGGGACATGAGCACGTTATCACCTTGAAAGAGGGATCGAACCAATTAGCGTTAGGCCATATCGTTACCCGTAAATTCGAAGTCAAAAATTAAGAAGATGGTGATGGAGATGTTGACGAGCAGGTATTATACGACCTAGCAGCGAGTCTTTTCTTAAGTCCGGTGTTGTTGGTACGAAAGAAGGACTGAAGTCGGAAGTTCCGTGTTGACTACCGAACTCTTAACAAAGCAAATGTACTCGATCGTTTTCCCATACCCAACATTGATGAGCTCCTTGACGAGTTGCATGGGGCAACGATTTTTACCAAGCTTGACCTTAAATCGAGCTACCACCAAATAAGAATCCAACCTCGAGGATGCATACAAGACAAGTATTTCATACTTATGAAGGCCACTATGAGTTTTTAGTCATGCCGTTCGGCTTGACAAACGCATCGGCTACCTTCTAGTCATTGATGAATCACATTTTTAAAGGAATGATAAGGAGGTATGCCTTTGTCTTCTTTAATGACATTTTGATTTACGAGTACCAACCTTGGTGAGCATTTATCACATTTACGGGAAGTCCTAACGGTGTTGCGCGCCCATGAGTTGTATGCCAATTTCAAAAAATATTGTTTTTGTAAGACGAAATTAGAATACTTAGGTCATATAATTTCGGGTTTTGGAGTGGAAGCGAGATCCCGAAAAAGTAAAATCCATGACGGAATGGCCAATGCCAAGGAATTCTAAAGAGCTGCGGGGATTTCTTAGATCGGTCGGTTACTATTGGAGGTTTGTTAAAGGCTATGGAAAGCTTGTCGCCCCATTAACACAACTTTTAAAGAAAGATAATTTTACTTTGAGTGATGAGGCAACTACGGATGTGAACCACCTTAAGCAAGCAATGACAGTTGTCTCTGCATTAGCTTTGCTCGACTTCACCATTCCATTCCAAATTGAGGCCGATGCATCGAGAATTGGACTTGGGGCAATAATTTTACAAAAAGGCGGACCCATTACTTTTTTCAACCGAGTCTTAGTAGGAAGAGCATGACACAAATCAATCTATGAAAGGGAGTTAATGGCCATTGTTCTTGCCATTCAAAAATGAAATCACTATTTATTGGGGAGGCATTTCATTGTCAAGACCGACCAATGAAGCTGGAAATACTGTTGGAGCAACACTTGGTGGCCCCGGAATATCAACGATGGCTAGTCAAACTCATTGGTTACAACTTCAAATACATTATAAACCAAGGGTGGAAAATCGAGCCGCGAATGCTCTTTTTAGAACTACTAACGATGTTGCCTTGCAAGTCCTAAGCGTGTCGCATTTCCTGGATTGGGAAATTATAAAGGCTAAAGTTGCCAAGGATCCCAAGCTTGGTAGCATACTTACGAAATTCAAGTCGACCCTTCGGTCGAGTGGATTGGACGAGTGCAAAATGGCTTGTTTTGCTTCTAACAGCGGGTCGTGTTGCCAAGGAATTCAATTCTAATTCCTATAATTCTAGTCGAATTTCACACTAGCCCAATTAGAGGTCACAATAGATTCCTAAAGACCTATAAAAGGGTCATGGTATAGCTATTTTGGGAAGATCTCAAGGCCGATGTGAAGAAATATATGTCGAATGTCGGGTGTGCCCATAGAATAAGTATGACACTTTGTCCCCCGCGAGTTTGCTCCAACCCTTATCCATTCCCGATGCTATTTGGAATGATATAACCATGGATTTTGTTGAAGGCATGCCACGGTCTAATAGGTTTGACTCCATTTTGGTAGTTGTTGATAGATTGAGTAAATATGCTCATTTCATTCATTTGAAACATCCCTTTACCGCAAAGAAAGTGGCAAAAGAATTCATTATCAATGTGGTCAAACTTCATGGTTTTCCACGTTCAATTGTGTCCGATAGAGACAAGGTTTTTATGAGCCATTTTTGGGTGGAACTTTTTCGGTTGTAGCATACACATCTTCATCATAGTATCGCTTACCATCAATAAAGTGATGGGCAATCGAGGTGGTGAACCGCTACTTAGAGGTTTATTTATGCTCTGTTTTACGGGATATAAACCCAAGGAATGGGCTAAGTGGTCGCATTGGGTAGAATTTTGATACAATACTTCGTACCACACAACGAACAAAAACCACTCCATTCAAGTTGTGTTATGGGAGGGACCCTCTTCCATTGGTGCGGCATGTTCCGGATGGTATTACCAACTCCAGCTTGAATGACATGTCGTTGGAAAGGGACCTTACGATCTCCGAACTAAATGAGCAATTAGAAGTCACACAAAATAACATGAAGAAGCAGGCTAACAAGCACGGATGTGATTTGTCTTTTGAGGTAGGAGACTTAGTTTATTTGAAACTAAGACCATATAGACAACGCTCCCTTGCTCGTAAACCCAATGAGAAGCTTTCTCCTTGCTACTTTGGACCCTATTCGATTGTTCAACGCATTGGTCGGGTTGCGTATAAGCTAGACCTCCCCGCTTCTACATCCATGCATCCGATCTTTCACATATCGCAACTTAGGAAGTTGATTGGTACTGCTACTCAAACTCCACCTCTCGCCTCCTATTTTAACTAGTGAATTAGAGTGGATTGTGGAGCCGAAGAGGTGTTGCAAGTCCGAGAAGGGGTCGTTAGAATGGAAGTGCTCGATTAAATTGAAGAATTTGCTAGATTTTGAAGCAACCTAATAATAGGTCGCTTTGATCAACAATCGGTTTCGACTTTCACCTCGAGGACAAGGTGAATGAAAAGGAGGGAGTAATGATAAGAGCCCGATTGTGCCTTTCAAACAAGTCTATTCACGTCGCAAGAAGAATGGGTCCGAGTGTCTAGCCATCAAGGCCAAAGCAGCTATCATATTTTCATTTAATCAGTATTTTTAATTTGTATGTTGTTAGTTTGTCCTTTATTACCTGGATGCTTTTATTTGTTACGCAAGAATAGTGTGTGTGTGAGTTCTAGAAGACCAGCTGGCAATTCTATTATGCCACAACCAATATAGTGTGAAGGGAGGGATGAGTGGGGTATTCGGTTGTGAAGTAATAATTTAGGGGACATTCTTGTCGAGAGAGAACGGGGCCTCTCTAATGCCTCATTGGGTCATGTACACTTAACGTCCTTAATTCAATCACACCATTATTTTTACCATTTCTAGTACTCTTTTTAATTCCTTTATTTCATCGACTGGTACCTACCAGGTGTCTTAATCGATACATGCATGATGATAGGTGTCTTTATAAAAGACACTTATCATCACTCATGCATGTAAGATTCTTCATTCATGATATATTAATAAAGAATGTAAAGAATTAAAAATGGTACAAGTGTGTCCCGCATTCTTTGATCTCTAACTCTCTAAGTGTGAGACACATATGACTTAAACTTAACCCTTTTATCACTTCAAATAGACTACTTGGTAGGAGCTAGAGATCAACTTTGGACAAT